ACCCCCTCCCCCGCCCCCCCGCGCTGGAACACTAAAGGCCAGAGAGCCGTGGCTGCGAAAGTCCCCAAGCCCGGCCGGCCCCGCCCCTCCCTTCCCCGCCCGCTGCCAGCGCCGGGCCCCCATTGGGCACAGGCGCCGCTCGTCCGCCCCCCGCCCCGCCCCTTTCGAACCTTACATTTACACTGTAGCAAAAGAGAAAGTAACTATGTTGCAGCTGTAGATCAATGGAGCCGAGTGCAGGGGCGGGCTCAGCGCGCAGTCACTAGCTACCGCCGGGTGCCCGATGCTGCAGGGACAGGCGGATTTCTGAAGTAAGTGCAAGGAGCCTTTCATTAGCCTCACAGGCGGGAGGGCAACGGGGATCTGCGTGTGTGCGCGCGTATACACACATATGTATACTTGTATGTGTATGCATACACACATATCCATGTGTCTGTATGTGTATATATGTGTGTATACATACATGTATACACACACGTGTGTGTATGCATGTATGCGGTGTGTGTATATGTATATGTGTGACGTATGTATATGTGTGCTCGTGTGTGTGTGTGACGTGTGTGTATATGTTTACACGTGTGTGTTGGGGGGGTGTGCACATGTACGTGCAGGACTTGTGCTAGGAAAGGACATCGATCCTAGCTTCTGCCAAGCTCCGTGCTGGAGGACAAGAGGAGCCGGGAGCCGCGGGGGCTTTGGACTGTTTCTTCCGACTGACCCCGGGTGTCGCCTGTCGGCGCTGGGGCGAGGGGAGTGCTGCAGTGTGTGTCAGGCGGCGGGGGACCAAAGTACGCGGAGACCTCTGCCTGTGTGCGCTGCCTACTTCCCCGGGCGTCGCTGCTTGCCTCAGCCCCCCCGCCTCCCCCTCCCCGCCGCCTTCCTGGGTGCCAGGTCCCGGGTGGGCGGCGAGGGGTACTTGGCCTGGCCGGGGGGGTGTCCTGCTGTGACTTGGCGGCGCTCAGGACCCTCAGCTGCAGAGCCGCAGGCAGGGCTTCCCGACCTGGGGCTGGAGCAGAGCACACTGCGCTGCGGGCGCGGGGCCGTTTCGCCGCGTTCATGCATGTTTGGAAATAAAACTAAGTTGGCGGTTGTTTTTAATTCGGTAGCTTGGCGGGGGGCTCTTAAAATGTGTTATGTATGCATGTGCAGGGCTTTGTTATACAAGGCGGGGGGAAGGGGGGAGCCCCACTGAAGAGGGGGCGAGGGGAGAGTCGTGAAGTGCTGGAGGTCCTGGGGGGTCGTTTCTCTCAGGTAACTCCGGGCGATCGCCGCCCCCGCCGGGGGAGTGCCGGTTTATGTCTGGGGGTGACGGGGGATACCTCCTCCCCCCGCAACACACAGGCGCGCGCACACTTCACACAGGCGCGCGCACACAGAAACACACACATTTCACACAGGCATGCACCACACACACCGCAGGCACCCCCCCCACACACACACACCCCACTACAGGCACATGCATCCCCCCCGCCACCCACGCGCGCGCGCGCGCGCACACACGCACACAGTATCTTCCAAGGCAGCCTGTAAAATGATTTTTGCTTGAAGGGAAGAGGGCTTCCCGGCCTCCGTGCTGCCTCATTAACACGAAGCAAGGGGCCAGGACTCCACGGAGCTGGGCAGAGCAATGCTGGGAGGGAAGGACCACTGTGCCAAGTGCCCACCCCCTTGAATGCATGCAGTTCACTCCTGGGTCACAGGCACTGGGAGCAGGAGCTTCAGCTGCCTCACAAGTGCCGGGGGGGGGGTGTTAACAGTATGTGGTAGATGAGAGGTTAAAGGAGTAGACATGCTGTGTGTGGAGCCTGGTATCTGGAGTCTGCCTCCAGGGGTTTCTCGAGGCACCCAGGCACCTTGGGGGATCTGCCCAGGGGAGCATAGGGGTGCAAGACAAAGGCTGCCCCCACGGCAGCCTCTTACAGCATCCTATGCTTCTCCTGGCTGCCTGGGCTCAGAGGGGGTTGTGCAAAGCCTGCTTGTATTTTGGCTGTGTAGAAAAGTTGCACATCCCCCACTGCCAGCCCGAGCTGCGGTGCCTTCCTCTGCGAGTCCTAGAGTCACGTCACTAAGCCTTATCACTCAGCTGCCTGCTTCTTGTGGCCCCCAGGAACAGCTCAGCTTGGTGTGCACATAAGGGCCTGCTCCCTCCTGGGGTACAGCCAGGCTGGCTAGGCCTGGGGCTGCTCTGCATCGCCTTTGCATCCAGGCAAAAAGCTGAGACTTTTGCTGCAGGATTAGGATAGGGTTCCCTTTGGGAGCCCCACTGAGTGGATAACTCTTGCCAGGGTTGATCACTATCAGAACTAGCTGCTTGAAATCGCTGGGCCCTGTATGTGTCATGTGATCTTTTTTTTTTTTTTCTTTCTCTCTCTCTCTTTCCTTTCTCCCCTTGCAGATACATCTTGTTCTTCTTGACTTGCCAGTTTTCAGCCTCCTCATGCCTCCATCTCCATTAGACGACAGGGTAGTGGTGGCACTTTCAAGGCCAGTAAGACCTCAGGATCTCAACCTTTGTTTAGACTCTAGCTACCTTGAATCTGCCGCCTCTGCCAGTGAGAACCACGCAAGTCTTCTCAGCACAGCTGTCGTGTCCCTAAAGGCGGCTAATCTCACGTATATGCCCTCATCCAACGGCTCTGCTCGCTCCCTGAGTTGTGGATGCAGCAGCGCCAGTTGCTGCACTGTGGCAACGTACGATAAGGACAATCAGGCCCAAACCCAAGCAAGCACCAGCAGCACCACCAACGTAGGAACCTCTGCTCCTTGCCCTGCTAACCAAATGGTCAACAATAATGAGAACATTGGCACTTTGAGTCCATCAGGTGGTGTGGGGAGCCCAGCCTCAGGCACAACCAAGCAACTAGCTAGCATAAAAATAATCTATCCTAATGACTTGGCTAAAAAGATGACCAAATGCACCAAGAGCCACCAACAGAACCAAGGGCCTGTCATCATTGACTGCAGGCCATTCATGGAGTACAATAAAAGTCACATCCAAGGAGCCGTTCATATTAACTGTTCTGACAAGATCAGCAGAAGAAGGCTCCAACAAGGCAAGATCACTGTCTTGGACTTGATCTCCTGTCGGGAAGGCAAGGACTCCTTCAAGAGGATCTTTTCCAAAGAAATCATAGTTTATGATGAGAATACCAATGAGCCAAGCCGAGTAATGCCTTCCCAGCCGCTTCACATCGTCCTGGAGTCGCTCAAGCGTGAAGGCAAGGAACCTCTAGTTCTAAAAGGTACTTCTGTTCTTCACCCCAGAATAATCTGCTCATTTGCTTGTTTGCCATAAACTTCCCATTTCTTTTTTGGTTTTGGGGTTTTTTTTTGGCAGAACCACTATGCTTTGTGTTTGTTTAGAAATCCTGTACAAACAGTTGCAAGTAGGAAAGGGAATGTTTTATAAGAGGGGAGGAAGGCCCCTAATGTATATTATTGATAAAACATAGAACTTGTAGAGCTTGATATGGAAAGGTAGGCATCGGTCCTCTTTTTATTTTCTGATTATTGCCCTCTTGCAGTGAAGGGGGATGGCAATGGGAAAGAGAAAGAAACTAGATTTTCTAGATTCTTGATATCTGCTTAGAGTAATAATTTCCTTATGTATTTAAACTATAAATATTCATAGCAAAGGGCAAACATCCAAGAAGACGCAATCCTCTCCCCAGCTACTTTACATCATCAAATTGACCTTTTGGGGCCCTTGATATTCAGTAGGGGTTTTTTTTTTTTCTGTTTTGGTCTTGCTTATTTTAGTCTGTACACCACTTGTCTCCTAGAAGTTTGGGTGGTGCATGCAGCAGTAAAAGGGGGAAGGAAGGACTATTTGGTTGACTACTCTCAAGTACTAGTATTAAATTATTCCATAGTGCAGTGGTTCTCAGATCCCTCTGTGGAACACTAATAGTAGCTGCGCTGTGTTCTATTGGTAGATAGCATGAAATAATTTGAGGTCCAAGTTATGCAGGATGAACTTGTTGAAGAGAGGATCTGGGAAAGAATCTTCTTGCCCTGAAGGAAAAACATTTTCAAAGAACCACTGTTACAAGGCTTTTTTATCACTGTCTTGAAAGATGTACCGTCTTGGGCTTTGCTTTTCCTAATATTACATTCACTAGCATAACAAGGGTGGGGCAAGAGGGGCACTAGTCCAGGGTTTCAATTTAGTGGGTGCATCCTACAGAGCTCTGCACGCCTCTCTCCAGTACTTGACATTCTTCCCTTCCCATCCTTCCTGCTGTCTGGTGCTCACCAGCATCTCTGCCCAGGACACTAAAATGCCCCTTCTCACACAGCTAAGTGTTCAAAGACACTTGGCTTTTTGTTTGTTTAATTCTGGTGCTCCTAATTAGAACAGTGTTGTCACCAAAATAAAGACCTCTCTTGGTCATCTGAGTAGGACATAATCTCATTCTCTTCCTTTTTCACTTTAGCCATCATGTGGCCAAACCATACATATTAAGTTCAAATAACCTGTCCTCATAAGTCATTTCCTTTAGCCTAGGAATTGTGGCCTAGAATAGATGGCAGCTCAATTAGCTGCTCTGGAGCTGCTAGAGAACTAGACAGGTATGACAGAGCTAAATTAAAGTTTTTGTATTAGGCTTCACTCAACTCTGATTTTTATTAAACCTTAAAGTTGTGATCGCCTTTCTCTGTGCATTATCTGCAACTCACAGTGACACTGACTTTTGTTTTGACAGTTGCAGCTCTTTCTCAATAGACTTGCACAGAACTCACTGGGCCACTGTGATGTTTCTTGTCTATGTAGAAGGAAGAACTGCTTTGTGCAATGAAGTTTTCTTTCTGAATTCATTGGTGCTGATGATAGTCATTTTGTTTGAAACTTCCTTTCCCCTCCATGTACAACTTGCAAACCATAATGTTGATACTCTTAAATTTTCAGGAATTAAAGTGAGAAATTATAGAAACAAAAAATAGTTCCTAAATTTCTTTGTAAAGTAGATCAAGAACTTTAAGTGACATCACATCTTGACTATGCCAGGGTCCAGGGATGAAATGTGCCAATTAAGAAATATTCATACAATTTTATTTTACTGTCATTGAAATGCTGGGTAAAGAAAGCCTGAATAGGACATTCCCTATACACTTCCTACATAAAATTTATTCTTCTTTTTCTTTTTTTTAATCCTGCCCCACCGGTGTTATGTGTGAGGCTATCTGCTGAGATTATCAGAGTGCTCATGACACCGTCATCCCATACACACTAGAAACTCAGAAGCACACAGTTTTAAAACGGATGAGAAGTGCTACCAGCTGTCTTAGAAGAAGGCTTTAGTAGAAAAGTTTGACTTTTTTTTCTTTCTTTCCCATGAATCTCCCTGTGAACTATTTCTGAAATGGAGGTAGAGAACAACAGCAGAAACGCATTCACTTACATAATTTTAAAAGTTGCGGCCTAAGGAAGCAGAATTGGCCTGGGAAAACAGCGAGGGGAGAGAGGAGAGGAGCACTCCCATGTTAACATTTTAAACTCCTCTTTCCTCCGCTACTTCAGAACCCTGTTCAAACGCTCTTCAGTTGAGTTAAGCCTGTTATAAAGTAACTTTTAACAAGGCTCTGCCTTAGGTTTCCAGGCCTGGTAAATGGTGGCAGAGGTGTTTGTTACTTAGTTTCATTTGTCAGATAGGATTCCTTCCCCCCCCCCCCAATGCTTCAATAGCTTCAGTGCTG